GCTTATTTAGACATCCAGCAGAGATAGAGCGGCATTAGCATTCAGAAGTTTCAGACCAACTAATGAGTGTCTATCCAATACTGACTCTCTATTTTGATGTTCACAACTCCTCAGGTAAATAACTCTTTAACCGCTAAATGTCTCACTATGTGCACCAGCCAGTCACTAACTTTGTCTGTCTGGTGGTGAGCAGATGGTGTACAGTGGATTAATCATTTTTTGCTGAAAACAGCTGCCTGCTGGAAATGACTTTGATGTAAGCCGTGATAATGAACCAAAATAGTATGGTTGTGTTCTATAATACCAAAACAGAGAGGTGAAAGACACTAAAAACACTCTGTAGAGCTGAGAGGAACTGCAGTAGTAATTATCTGTAGGGTCATCACTATGAGTGACCACTTTCACGTTAAACATAGTCATTTAATCCATTTTCAGTATAAAACTATTGATTAGCGCTACCATCCTCAGAGCTGGAGAAGAGGCCCATCCCCAACCAAGAGCAAAGTCTGGTTTCCTCACTACTGCAACTGACTGCCAAAAGGAAGTGGAAGTGGAGCAGCAGAAGTTTCCAGTCATGTAACTTTGACCAGACATGATTATTGTGTCAGAGTTCACCGAACAATTGATCATGCGGGAACTCACATTGTGTACGGAGGAGGCCAACTAGTAGCAGGAGCTTTTGAAAGAGTGCAGAAGGCGATGCTGGAGAACTTGCTGTGAGCCTGTAGAGGTGGGCTTTTGAGGATTCGCAGGGTGCTCACTCTGCGAAGTCTTTACACTGCTTGGCATCACTGAGGTGGCAAAGATGAAGGCAATCAGATTTGCTAATGAAGCTGCAGAGAAAACCACTAGGTGGCTACTGATCTGTAGATCTGTAGGCGAATGCTGCTGGGACGCAAGCTGGGAATTGATCAACCCGGCTGGGTTACCTGGGTGAGGGTGTCTGCTGTTGAAAGATCCAAAACACCCGATGACCCCAGGTTCCATCACTGATGATGCATCCCAGCGTCTGCAGGATGTATCTTTCATCAGCAGCTTTAAGTTTTAGAATAACTGTAAATACATGTCCTTTATGTATTTGCCTTGTCGTAAAATGTTATCTGTATTCATGAGAGAGCCAGGTGTCTCTTTTGTTTGTTAGCACTCATGACACAAGAGAGCTCCCTGAGGTATTGAGGGCAGCGCGTGTCTCTCGCTGTGAGGTGTTTTGTAGTCCTGCTCACTGTCGGCATCTGATCTCAGGCTATTTTCAGTCTTGGTTCTCCGTCGCTCTTGTTATCACCATGGCAGCAGAGCTGGACTGAGCTCAGCCCGACTCTGTGGTGTGTAAGGGCAGAGGTGGGGTGGCGGGATGGCTGGCTCGGGGGAGGCCGCTTTTGATAGGATCATCCTTCAAACAGGATGTGAAAAGGTCATTTTGTTGTTGTTTTTTATTCATAGATCTGAGCTGTAATTAGCTGTTTAACTGCTATCTAGAAATGCACATTGAGGCAGAAATTATAAGCTTGATCCTGTAAGGTCGCACTGGAAGAGCAGAATAGATAATAGCTGTACTGTAGTTCTGTGGTATGGTATGGTGTTCTCACAGGTGTGAGCAATAATACAACGTGATGCTGTGAGTGAAAAGCATGTATGTCAGTGGTTTTCAAAATCTGGGTCAGGATCCTTTCAAATTCAGGGCTATGAAAAGATTAGATTTTCTGGTGTAATATTCTTTACAAAGTAATATGTTATTGACTACACTATGGGGGTAAGGCTTTCTAAATCCTTGGATTGTACAAAAGGTGGAAGTAAATAATGCAGGTTTGGGGAGAATAGCATGTAAAAACCCACCTCAAATGTTTTGATATTGAGCGAAATCAACTAAAGAAACCACATATGTTATATGTGTGAAACAGAATTAATGTAAACCTATAGTTCACAATTGTACCTGCTTAGCGGTGCAGAAAGCAGTGTTCGAATTTAACCAAGTGGAAACGGCGGCGTCTCTCAATGGGGCTTTTACATTCTTATTTGGAGCAGCAGACTGAAGTCGATAAGCCTTTGCTAGAAGTAAATTGGACTGGCTTCTTCAATCATTTTTCCCATCGATTCCAGAAGGTGTGTCTGTGTTCACTGGGACGGTGTTTGAGGAGAGGAGCGGAGAGGATTGGGCACAAAACAAAGGAGTAAAGTACAGGAATAGGAAGATAGGAAAGATAATAGATATAACGTAAAGAGATTAGTAGAGAGGAGGGGGAAAAGGTAAGGACATGTGAGCCTTTTCTGCCGTGTGACTACATGTTTAGGTCGTCAGATCATTTTGGTACTTTGATTTTAACAACATTTGTTATGAAGAGATGTATCTCCAAACATATATATATATATATTATTAAAAATATGTCAAGACACATCTTCCACGACTGTTGACCTTAAGGTTAAAAACCTCTGAGATAGAAGAAGAGAGGAGAGGAAGGGAGAAGGTTGGGTGGAAAAGAAAACGAAGACATGACAGTATAAGGGAGAAGGCATGAGAGGAGGAAATGTGATGTGAGGAGTGCAGGTGATTAGAGAGGGGGAGATCAAAGACACGGACAGGATAGATAAGAACAGGACACCGTAGTCTCTTCTGGCCTGTGACCCCATGTTTTAGTCATAAAGTTTCATCATCAGAGCAAGTAGTTGAAGTTGTCACATAAAACCTACTTTAGTACTTTGTTTATAAGAATTTGTGTTATGGAGGGATTGTTATTATCACAACAAATGTATTTATTTTTGAAAATATGTCAAGAAGAACATCTGTCTATTATCTCCCATGACTTTCTGCATGAGGGGTGATTTATGTTAAGGCTTAAAAACTCTGGGATGAAAGAATGGAGGCGATTTAAGGAGACAAGAGGATTGGGGCGGGAAGAAAAGTGGGCATGACAGTGTGAGTGGGAAGGCAGGAAAGGAGAAAGGGTGATGTAAGGAGATGATTAGGGATGAGGAGAGAAAGGAAAAGGGCCGGATAAATCAGAACAGGATACCTAAGCTTTCTCTGGCCCATGACTCCAAGTTTAGGTTCTCATAATCACAGCAAGGATCATTTTATCATGTCAAACATACCTTTGTGTGGAAGAACATGGGTTCGGAGAACATTAATTTTTACTGAAGATAAGACAAACATCTGTACATCAGCCTTCGAAAACTCATCCGACTGTCTGCATATTCTCTTTCTGAGATAGAAGACAGGAGCAGAGGAGAGGGTTGAATTGGATAGGAAAGCAGAGGAGAACAGATGTAATGTGAGGTGATGATTAGAGAAGAGGGGATAGGACAGGAGAGGTTAGAACAATGTATCTTAGGGTGCTTTCACACCTGTAGTTTGGTTCATCTGGTCTGGAAGAAAATTATACATTGCTGCATTTTAGTCCGCACTGACTTTTTACAAACGAACCAAGAGGAGTGAACATGAAGTTAAACAGACTGACAGGTAACTCATTGATTGGAATTTTTTGGTGATTGTCACCCTGCTTTATAAGCACATCATCAGGACCCCCGTGGGGAAATCGAATACGGTGACTGACAGAAGTTTATACAGCACTTTAATGCTTCTAATTTGTGTATGTTCTTTGGTGTCGAAACAAGCTCACGAAGAAATAAATGATTATAGGCATTATTAGAATTATTAATGTTACTATTATTACTCCAAATCGGCCGCATGTTATGAATAATGACGTAGAGACAGGATGAAACAGTACAGTACATTAATGATTCGGGGTTTATTACTGTGGGATCGCTGTCACAAATGTGTTAATTGACTTAATGAACTGACAAAGTGCACAGAGTACAAGCACACTGTTTTTACCAGTATTTGACCTATTTATCAGGGAAAACACCCGCGCTGACGTGCATATGTGTTACTATGGTTACCAAATGATTTGCATAAATATATACATGGCTTATATAGATCAATTTTCAAATCACTTCCTGGACACATTTGAACTGATGGATTTATTGGTAGTTTAGCTTTTGAAATAATGTCAAAACAACGTCTGCTTTCATAAATGTATTTCTTTTACATCACAAGTGAACCAAGATTGCGATTTATCTCTAAGAAAATATAGATTGTATAGATGATACCTTAAGACAAACATCTGTGTCAGTATAACGTAGCAGAAATGGAGCGTTTGCATTTTATGCGACTCCTCATAGGCTCCTGACCTTGAGGATCAAAATCTCTTCAGATAGAAGAAGAGAGGAGATGAGATGAGAAAGAGTGAAGAAAAGGGGATTGGTTATGGCGAGTTAGAAAGCAGGAGATAGCACAGGAGGGGTGAGTAGAGAAAAGGAAAATGAAGACAGTATTTTACAGAAGAGGAGATGAGGTGAGAGGGAGGAGGACAAGAGCAGATGACAGGAGAAAGAGGAGAAGAAGGGAAAATAGAAGCATATAGAAGGACATAAGAGACCACGGAGCTGAGACAAGACAAGAGGAGAGGCGAGGGTAGGAGATGTGTCTCTCCTCCAGCTCTTAGCAACATGCTTTTGTGTCTATCAGTTTGGATTACACACTTCTGCCCCTGAAAATCCATGTTCACACTTTGGTATACACATCTTGGATGTTTGCTTTCTTTTCACTAGGAAAACATGACACGTCTTTTAAGTACATTTCCAAAGAGTTAACACACTTAAAAAAATCACTCCTTTTTACAAGACCAGATTTGATGTGAAGGGACGATGTCATGTAAGCACATCCTGGTGTGTAATTTCTGGTTTGACTGTGACAGAGCAGGCGATGTAAAGGATTTCGGCAGATTATAATAAAACCGTACATGCAGTAGTAGGACCATTGTGAAGTCAAATTGATGTACTGGATGTTGGAAAATATGTATACTGTATGTGTAAAACTTCCTTAACCTGATTGAGAAAGATGGGATTTTTCCTTTCTGGTTGGTTTAAGTCCCTGGTGTTTCCATAAAGGCATCTAAATTATGAGCACTAAAATTTGTTATTCTCTTCCATTTTTGTTTAACCAGACTGAAGAAAAATCACAGAAGAAGAAGCAGAGACGTACCCAGGGAGGAGGAGGAGGAGCAAAGGGATTCGGATTTCTCTGGTAAGTTGGAAACATTTCTGTCCCTCATCACATCGTCTCCACCAACATCATTTTCCACAACAGCGTGAACTTCCGGCCTTTCAGAATCAAATGTTCTTGTTCTTCTCAAAGGCATTTCCCCTCCCGTAGGATGTGAATACACACAGATGTCAGTCTGTTTGCCATGCCTGGCAAGTGTCCCCAGTCCAAATATCTTCATCTATGATACTGCCAGAGTGTGAATGGATTAATATTAACACTCTCTGTAGAGCTCCTAAATCCCTAAATAGCTACAAGGCCTTTCCAACGCTACGACTCTTTCTCCTTTAGACTCAGTTGGGTTGCCTGCTCCTTTTATTCTAGCTGTAAGGCAAAGGTCACTGCTTGCTTCACTGGAATGATGGTCTGTATCCATTTTGGCAGCGAGGTTTGGCAGGGAATAAAAATAACACTGTGTTTCTAGTGTCCAACTGTCTGTTTGATGCATATGGTTGTCAAGGTAACACACCCTCTCATCCTCGCCCACCGCTTTGACAGTGGGCGTCAATACTTAGAAATCATAAAATTGCACTTAGAGCCTAAATTGTGCGTAGTACTTATTGACACGTAATGTGTCAAAATGGAGCACGTAGAGGTAGAGAAGTTCCCTAATGGCAATTGCACAATTAAGGGCTAAAGGAGCTCCCTTAAGTACAAGGTCTCAGTGTGCATTAGAGCCCAGAGAATTGACTCTCAGCTCCCACATGGGTTTTTGAAAATGACCCTCAGTAATCTTTGACTCATCCCTTCATTCGGCGGTGCAGAAAGTGTGTCTGTGATTCAGCGGGGAGTTGATCTGATGCTCAGTGAGTGGAGGTGACACGGTGTAAGTGTGTCCACCGCCCAGCGGAGTGTGAAGGTAGGATCCCACCTCGGCCTTGCAGCCCGCCGAGCCAGGCGGGGAGGCATCACGCATAGCTGTGCGGAGAGTTAAGGAACTCTGACGCCTCCGCTGTTGGTGCAACGCTTGTTTTAATTTTAGTGATGGAGGTTTCTCTCTCTCTCTCTCAGCTTATCCATTTTATGTGTCTATTTAAATTTCACTTTGCCTCTGCCTATCTGAATCTGACTGTCTTTGAATCTCATTCATTCTTTCTGTTTGTCTTTTGTCATCTCGCTGTGGCATCTGGTTGTTGTTGTGGAGGTGTGCAGCAGGCCAGAGAGGCTGAGTCCACAGTTTTCAATGGCCGAGTCATAGTGAGCCACACTTAGGAGCTGCAGGCCGAATGTGCAGTTTGAAACACAGTGAGGCGTGAAGTGTCCATTGTGAGCAACAGCATTCAGGTCCCATGCGCTTCAATAGAAGGCCGGCGAGGTTTCTGTTTACCTCCATAGTGCTGTCTTTCACTGGGTTCTCTCACGTGGCCGTCAGGGAGTGTGGTATTACTGTTTGTGTTTGTGTGTTATAATGCCAAGTGGGGGAGGGTGGGGAAACGACCAGGGATCACCCAATCATATCTTTGTCTCTTCAGAAACTGCTATGATGTTGTTAACTTTACATGTGAATGGCTTTTGACTGTTAATCTTTGAGACAGAAATACATAATCCAGTCTTTTCATATACAATGCAGTCAGAAATTATTTGTGAATTGATGTATTGGATTTGAAATGAAAAATGTGACCATGATTTAAAGTGATGATTTTGTTGATTTTGTCCACATCCATATTGGGTGCATCTTCGTATTGGATGAACAGTATGATGCTAAGCCCTTTTTAAAACCCCATTTTTAGCAGAGTGCTGCCGGGGACAATCTTCAGCGTACAGAAAAGACAACCAAGGAGTTTTATGGCCAAACTATTGATTGTCCGAGTCAGTCACCTGACCTTAGGCAAACTCATCATGTGTTTCACTTGCTGAAGACCAGACTGAAGGCAAAAAGCCCTTGAAACAAGCAAGAAGTACAGATGGCTGCAGTACAGGCCTGGCAGAGCAAAACCAGGGAAGATGCCAACCGTCTACTGATGTCTATGAGTTGTAAAATCCAGCCAGTCATTTTCTGCAAAGGAGTTGCAACCAGATATGAAATATCCATAAAAGTATGTGTTTTAGGATGAGGTTCAGACCATGCACTTTTGTTCGTTGTATTTACTGTAATTTCCCTTCTCTGTCACCCTCATTTCCTGTCATGTTCACTGTGAAATCAGGCAACCATGCATCACAGTCTGAAAATATCATTCTCAAATATAACTAAACTTAACAAAGTGGTGCACTGCAATTCTGCCTGTGGTTTGTGCAAGTGAGATGACGAGAGGATAATATAGGATCAGAGGAGAGAGGGAAGACAGGATGACAGGAGAAAATTAAAGGAGAGCAGAGTAAATGCCTCTGCTGCCCACCCAAGTTTACTTCTAAATATGTAAATAAAAACCTTAATATAATAATATTTGAACGTCTTAATATAACAGAGCATAGATTTGTGTCTGTATGATTATGGTTATGGTTGGACGTTATTACTCTGTAATTTCTGCCAGTACATACAGAGATACAAGCAAAGGTAAAAATGGAAAACAGACCAGTGCAATAATATAATACACTATTAGAAATTATTGTAAAATATTATTGTATTGATATTATTGTTTTAGAATGTGAGCAAATTTGGTCCCCGTTGTTGACTCCATGACTATAGCCTTGTTTGTCCCTCAAAATTGTGAGGCTACATGTAGTTATTATAACTCCTACACAGTCCATGTGATGATAATCATATTAAAGCTTAGCATTTTAACTTCATTGTTTAGTTTCAAACCTAATGTGCTGGAGTGTAAAAAAATGTGCCTCTGTCTTAATACTTTCTGACTGCACTGTACCGAATAAATCAGTTGCCAACAATAAGGACTGGACTGTGAGCCACTGACACTCTCTCAAATGGCAGTGTGCATGAACAGTGTCATCTACTATGAGTGAAGCAGCAGCTTTCTCACATGTGGTCAGAAAGCAGCGATATTATGCAGTTTTGGGATCAGATGAGGGAGTAATGGGATTCATACGTGCACAGAGGCCCCCTGGGCTGCTCCCAATGCACGTCGCTTCAGATGAACGCGTCAAGATATTTCTAAGGCGTCTCTTTGATATGAGCCCGATGGTTCTCTGTGTCAACATTCCTGTCTACGCATGTTATGTTTAAGAGCTACCGTGTGTGAGAAAGATGCCGTGCGTGGATGTGATTGAGTGGGTTGTTTGTGTGTTTTCCAGCGTTTCTGTGACTGTATGAGTAGAAGAGACAGGGAAGTGCAAAGAGACACAGCTAAAGTGTCAGAAAGAAGGACATGAATAAACAAGTAGATGAATAGATGGATACAAAGACAGTGAGGGAAAGAAAGAAGCTGAGTGATGTGAAAGAAGTTGGTGAGCCCCCTCCTGAGGGGATTCTGCTTTCCTTCTCTATCTTCTAGGGTTGTGGAGAAAGTCAGCTTCATGCACAAATGACTCACAAACTGCTCAGCAGACAGCCTGGAGAGTCTGAGGAGACTCTGTTCTATATCTGGCTCTACATCTCCATCCTTATTGTTTTTCTCCCAGCTCCTCTCACCTTTCACCTGCACAACCTTCCTTTAGGCCTCGTTCTACCTTCACTACTCGCCTTCTCTATACAATGATTTGGTCCAGCACCGAAGATCTTCCTTATTCGCATTGCTGAATGTGTGTTTATTCATTCCTCTATATGTTTGCTTATTGTCCAAGTTAATTAATCTAGGATTAAGTATTGCATTTAATTTTGTATCCAACAGTTTGAAATGCAGTCAGTTTATTTTGATATACTGTGATTCTGTAACAATGCCATTCTCAGCTAGCTAGCCTGGCTGTGTCCAAGGAATCAATCCAGCACATACCTCCCTGCTAAACCCCAGCTTGTTCTTACATTTTGGTGGGGTTTTTTTGTATTAAACAGACATTAAGTAGCACAAAGACCGAAAAACAGTGGGAAACAGCTAGAAGGTATACTCTAAAGCATACATTAACATGTTATAATGTGTGTTCTAGAAAGTTGTGGTTTATCAGGAAGTTATATGCTGGAGATATTTCTTGGACAGAGCCAGTATAAGTGTTTGCTCCTGCTTCCAGGCTTTATGCTAAGCTAAGCTAATCATCTCCTGGCTCCAGCTCCATATTTAGCATACAGATGTAAAAGTGAGATCAGTTTTCTCATCTAACACGGCAAGAATGCCCACAAGAATATGTCCCCAAAACTATTCCTTTAATGGAGTGAACCACTTCTTGTTTCCAAGATCCAAGATTATCACCTGAGCTAAAGATTAAAAAATGTTCAGACAGAATACTTGCCTGAGGTTATAGTGGCCCTAAATATGGCTTAAAATCCTAACCTGTTAACTATCTAATTTTATTTTTTCACCACACTAATGTACCATATTTTCTTTCTCAAAGTACAGAATTATTGACTGCATGATTAAAGCTCTTTTTGTTTCATGTTTTTACTTGGTACGCCTCTGAATCCTTCTTCACACTTTAGATGAATGCCACAGGTCTGTTTAGTCTGATCCCGAGTATCGATGTTGCTTCAGGACAGAGAAGATTGTCCTCACACCGTCATAAGCTGGTGGGATCTATCTGTTTGGAAGGGCCTCTAAGAAACCAAATGATTTATGTGGCTGTTAGGCGTGGGTCCTGGTCCAAGGCCAAGCCTATCTGCTTATCTATATAAACAGCCCGTTCGTAGGGTGGAATACAAATGGCTGAATTTAGATGTAACCCCTCGCTCACCTGCATCTCAGCCAATTCTAATGAGAAATCTCTCTCTGTATTTGCAGAGAATTATAAATATGAAATGTGAGAGCATGCTGAAATAGTAAGCTATATATAGACTTGTGGGTGTGAATTACATCAAGCCTCTACCCACCAATGTATATTTTTGTCTGTTTATAAAAAGTTGTTGAATTATTTTCTTAAATTAACCACCAAATAAGTTTAACATGACTGAAACTGTCTTTTTTGCTATCATGATTACCGTTTGTGTTCTATTACATTTT